GGAGYGTGAATGATTCAAATGAAGAAGTGTGCTGGAAAAATGGGAATGTGCTTTCTAGAGACACTTAAGGGGRGAGCAGAACTGCTTCAGTATTTCCCTGATTTTATCACACAACTCCTGGAGGTGTTGGTCACTCTGTGCTGTGTCTTGWCAAGTGACATCCACTGTCTTGCTTTTCTGTGGAGTGGGGGAGTGTTGCATGGCTTAGCTTGAACTATTCAAAACATTGAGGTTATTTTGAAAATACCTAAAAAATGGTTTAAAAGTTTTWGTAATTATTATTTTCTTTTGTTGAACCCTCCTTGTTGAAGCTGTGGGAGCTGTTGAGGTCTGTGTAAGACTGTCAGTTTATGAACTGACCTCAGGATTGACACAGTCAGAAGTGCTTTGGGTTACACACACCTCAGTTACTGACATAAACTTCACCCCTCAGAATATTAATGCACTTTTCTCCATGGTTTTGTCTTGAAGGCTGGTGGAGTTGCTGGTGTCTTTGTTGACTTGATCCTCTTTCCCCTGGATACTGTGAAAACAAGACTGCAGAGTCCTCAAGGATTTAGGAAGGCTGGTGGTTTTCGTGGCATCTATGCTGGWGTTCCTTCCACTGCTATAGGATCCTTTCCAAATGGTAAGTTTTTTTGATTATGCTTGCCTTGCCTTCTTTAAGTGGTAATTTATGTCACGTAGGACATCCATGTCTGTGGTTTCCTGTGGGTGCCTGGATTCTGTGAGTCCATGTCCAGCWGTGAAGGGCAGTTTCTAGATTTGTACAGCACTGAGCAAACTTGAGCAAGGCTGGAGTGAAGGCTGCTGTATGTTTACTCTGAAAAGCAGCCCTAATTCCTTGGAAGTGTTCCTGGATTAATTATAAGGGCACCCTAAAACATTTCTAGGTGTCAAAGAGGGCTTGAGTCTTGCTTGCCCTGGACACTTTTGTCATGATTCACTCTTTCTTGGCATTGGAAATGAGTGGAATTTCAAAGTGCTTGAGCACTGGAGGATTTTGAGTTAATTATCCTGGGGATGCTCTGCCCATYTCCCTGAAACTACAACACTTAAATTGTAAAGACATCAGGAATACTTTTGAAACGGAGGCTTTAAAAAGTATATGCTTGTAGTCTCTGCAGAAAAAAAGGCATCTGAAATTCCTGATGCCTTTGTCCATTTTGTCTTTGTAGGGAGGGATGAAAAAATCTGTTCTGTCAGATGTAAATGTTAGGAGAACTTTGCTGACAAATCCACTGACACCTTCAGATGTTTGATGTCCTTCATAAGGTGATATAAAAAAATTCAGTTCTTTATCTTGGCTGCTGTGTTATCTCCTTTTGAAGTGATAAGCATCTTTTGATTAGCAGAAGGCAATTCACACGGCCCCTCTTTACAATTAAAATCTGTTCCCCCGCAAGACATGTCATTTTTTTCAGTATTTACATCTCCAAAATCTGCACTGTAGTTTTATCTTTCCAACGTATGACTGAAAAGTGAAATTAYCTTTAGGAGAAGGAATAACCCTTAAGGTGTAAGTGCCTTTGTAGCTGACTGTTGCAGTGAATAAACACAGCTCATGTTGCTGTGCTCAGTTTAGTTTTTTGTATTTCTTGTTCACTGCACAGAACTTCTATGAATCCTTCAGAAGCTGGAAAAAAAAATTTATGGGTCTAAATCCAAAATATTTAACTGACAAGAGCTAGGAAGAAGTTATTAATAAACTGCTACTGAAACAGTTTTTCACATTGCTGGATRGCAGAATTGTATCAAATTGATGCTTTTTGGATTTGTTTATTTTTCTTTTCAATTAATCAATTGATTTGTTTGTTGTTCCCTTCCTCTCCCACTCAAAAAAAGGACCATCCATTCAATTGAACCAAGGACCCTTCCCTCTACTCAATCTATGGATATGGAAGATGTCACTTTTTCAAAATGTGCTGGGCATTCATGKCTAATCAACATATCTTTCTGTAGCTCACTGCTAAATGTGGCCTGGAGTCCTGACACCTTTGATATTAATGGAAGGTTTGCCASGGGGTAGCCAGAAGCAAAAAATTGTGAAGGAGTTTTCCCTCAGATTTTGTTGATACTGTTGTGYAAAAATATCCTGGTTTTAACTACAACTGCAGAATAACAGGTGTCAAAATCCACCTCTAAATGTTTTTTTGTGCTAGTTCTGTGATGGAGGAACAGTGAAATGATTGCATGTTTTCTTGAATTTCAGCTGCTGCTTTTTTTATCACCTACGAGAATGTGAAATCCTTGCTGCCCCATGGACCTTCATCCTACCTGTCCCCTGCAACACACATGGTGGCTGCCTCCCTTGGGGAAGTGGTAAGAAGAGAGAAAATTCGTGTGTTTTGTGTCCATGGGAGGAGAGGAAACCATTCAGTCATGGAAAGTGGGGTTTGGTGTCATACCTGGTGACAGTTGTCACTGTTGGCACAGTGCCYTGGGGCTGGCTGTGGAGCTCAAACACCCCACGCTGCTCCTGCCAGCACTGGCCACCTCTTCCCTCCTGTTTTGGTCACACACRGTGTGTCCTGGCACTGATAAAATGWGGTKCAAATTGTCTCTGCAGGTTTGGGGTAAGGAAATGRGCTGTATGAAGCAGGCTTTTATGGCTTTTTGCAATTTAAACTTAGCTGATGGCGTGGGGCAGAAAACTGTTGTGCTTGTGGTTCCATATTCTGCTTTTATGAACAGATTTTTTCTTTTCCTTCCCATGGTGGCTTAGCTTAGGTGTTATGTTGGTCCCAAGCTGCCAGGAGTGTGGAGATTCCATTTATTTTAGCTTAACACCAGGTTCCTCCCTGCTACAGCAGCACAGCCTGGCTGCTTCCCACGGGAAGCAGCTCAGCTCTCCCTGCTCCCTGTGGGATCAACTTTGACACCCAAGTAATTTTTATTTTTCTGTGGAAATGTTACTGATTAGATTAAATGAGATWTAGCCAGGAAACTTAATTTAATGTACCAAGCACATGAAGATAGGTGAGTACAGCCCATAACCACTCTGGTAGTGGTAGATAGAAGGTGATAGACGTAGGGCTGGGTGGGATTTTTCTGTGTTGCTGCCTCAGGTGGATTCTTTCTGAGCTTGATTAGAGCCTGTGCTGTCAGGTTATGATTTCTAACTTAAGGCAATGCACAGAATTTACTTCCATGAGATTTCTCTAAGGGCTGTTAGAAATCAGCAAGAGGTTATTTACCACCATGACAATGCATGGCCCTAAAACTCCTTGTTTGCCTGATGTGTGTTGTAACAGCAGATCCAGGAGGTGTTTTGAGCTTCTCAGGTGCTGTTGCAGAATCAAGCAAAATGGCAATTTGGCTTGTGAAGAGGAGCCTGTGCTTTGCAATAAAATCCACCAGAGGAAAAGGTCTCTTCTCTGTGCAGTAGGTTGTTTATAATACACTCCCTGTGCCTGTGAGGAAATTACAACTGGGTCATTTAATCAGCAGTACCCAGTTGGCTACAGGTGACTCCTTCCAACAGAACCTGTTGCCCTTTTTCCCCACACTGGTCTGTGACTTTTACAGCTCAGGCACTTGCTGCTTTCACTCTGGGRCAGGCAGAAATGGTGCAGCAGAGTTAGATGAGCTGCTCAGGGCTGTCTCACGTGCTTGGCTTTGGCTGCTCTAAGCCCAGGGTAATGCATAGTGGTAGCCATTGAAATGGCAGAGTGGTTTTATGGTGTGGGAGCTATGATGTTGTAACAGTTTCCACATAATTTTGCTGCTTTTTGCTAGCTTTTTTCCTTCTCTTAGAGWGATGGGTGTGAGAGGAGAACTAAGCTGTAAAATAACTGAGGTAGGTATATAGAGATTTACTATAACAAACCTGTAATAAAACAGCACAAAGCAAGACCTTCTCATGTATGTTCTATATAAAGTCTTAGTTGATCAATAGAAAAATACATAAACTAGTCCAAATTGCATCAGGGTGAAAGTTATAATTACAGTTTTATTGATTAGTCATTAAGTTTTAATCAGGGCATAACCACTGGGACTATTATTTTGTCAGTAGTTTTTTTGATAATACATACTTGTCTTCCATTGTATACTTCATGATGTAAATTGCTTTTAAMTGTGAAACATTAAGCCCAAGACTGTCATGTTAGGATTCCCAAGGCATGTCTTTGCATTTCCACACTGATTTAAAAAAAAAAAAAACAAAAAAAACAGAGAAATTAGGAATTAGAGCAAGAAAGTTTTGATGAATTTCAAGGTTTGCTGTTCCTTCACTGGTGAGCATTAGTGACGTAGATACCTTCTTATGCATCAATAAAATGTATGTGCTTAAAGATACAATAAAATAKACATGAGAAATCAGTCAAATGGAAACTTGTAGGTTTAGAACAGCCACTCTCCTGTATTTGTTTACAGTCTCTGGAAATTCATGGGAGAAACAGTCCCCTGGAACTGGTTTGGTCCATTTTTCCAGTTCCAAGCTGGGAGACACAAAGCCAGACAATAAAAATGCAGGGGTTGTAGCAGTGTTTTGGGTTTGTTTTTTTTCCCTTTTAGGCAGGAGGAATATAGAAAGCTAATCTCATCTCCCAGAGCGAGATAAAGAAAAGTACATACAAAATCTGACCCTGCTAAGCATAATTATTTTTTCCTATAACTGAATCTCACTGTATAGGGACTCTGAATATCCCATAATACATGAAAAACTGCTTACAAAGACACATCCAAAACTCCAGAGGGCAGATACATGGTATATCATCTCATCAAGGAAGGAGAAGGTTTAAGAATACATGAGTTGCCAACAGGGGAAAAAACCTTATATACCACTCAATGTAACTGAAATCTGGAGATAGGAAACACTCATACTGCATCCAGGACTTTGGAATTTTTCATCTTGACTCTGCCTTGCCCTGTGTGTTTAGTCTGCCTGTATCTTTACAGTGAGCTGCCAAATGTGCTTGGAAAACATGATATCATAGGGAGTGGAAAGGAAAACCAGATGTTCTGAAATTTTACTTTTAATATTCTAAGGCCGTGTAAGTAATTCTGGGAAGGAGCAGCATTTTTAACCTCCAAGTGCCCATTTTCAGTAGTAACCAGGTGTTTCTTGCAGGACCAGAGTTAATTGTTCAGCTCCAGATTGATTTGTACAGATTTTTTTGTCAGTTTAATAGGAGTGTGTATGTGTTTTAATTACAAGAAACTTTGCTAAATAGAAGTCCCCCTCCGAGCCTGTCCTATCAGCCTCCTGCATATGTGGTTTTATGGGACAAGTTTGGGATTGTCCCAGTTTGACCGATGAGGTTTCCTTCAGGAGTGCCAGAGTGGCTGCATTCAGCACAGCTAATTTGGATTCAGCACAGATCATTTCATGTCCCACTGGCTTTTCCATGGAGGTGAGAATAAAGTCGTTTGGCTCAGGTTCCAGAGAAGGGAGCTGACAAAAGCCTTTCCCATCTAATGTTTAGATACTGCTATGGTTACGATCTGARCTTTGCAAGATATTTAGTGTAAGTTTTGGGCTGTTGCTTGTAAATATTGGGTTCGCTCTTATCTTTCTGACCTTTTGTTCTTTTTTGATGACATTGTCTTTCTTTTTTTTCTCTATTTTGCAAGACAGCAAACTACCTTGACTTTCAGAGAGGAAGTGTRGGGGAGGACTGAGGACCAGGATGGGAGGGAGATGTCCTGTTCTTTTGGCAGCTGCTGGTAATGGCCATGCTCTGGAAAGAGATCACCAGCTGAAATCATTGTTTAAGCCTTTGTCCTTGTTTAAGTTGCCAGAATACTTTAGGATTAGAAAGCTAGAGATGTGGAAAATTCAAAAATTTGTCACTTCAGTGTGAGAAGGGGATCAYGTGACTCCACAGGGCAAGGTGAGGACAGGTATTTCAAGGTGAAATTCCAAGCTCACTCATATATTCCAGTGCGTTACCACTTGAGGTACATCTGTGATAAGAGCAAAGTGTGTGGTTTATGTGTGATTAGCATCTGACCCTTCATATTAATAACTTCGGAATTTTTTAATCTGCTCTTGGGATGTGTCAAATAGGAAAACTTCTTAATGCAGGARTTATCTTTCTGGGGAGTTCAGTTACCTTTCCCTACCAGTATAAACTTGTTTCCTAGAAGCGATCTCAAATGCAAGCAAGTCTACAGTTTACAAGTTTTGGTTCTGGAAAATGACATTTTAAGCATACTTTTAATTTAAATAAAGGAGGGAAGTGTATTATTTACTTTATTTTATGCTTGTGGCAGAGGGTTTCTGCATCAAAAGAGGCATTCTAGACATATGGACAACACTGTGTTGTCTATCTCTGTCCACAAATCAGCCCCTTGTTCCCTGGCTGTGTTGTTTGAAACAGTTAATTAGTTTCAGTTTAATAGAAGAGGAGGAATCTCCAAAAGTGTTTTGGTATGAATTCCATGAGATTAACTGGCCAGGTCATAGAAGAAAGTATTCTTAGTGCATGTTCAGGGAAAAGGCAGAAGCATGAGTCAGACAAATCCGCAGAGCAATGGAATGAAAATCTCCAGCAGGATCACTGGCCAGGGCTTTGCAGCATGGTAAACTCTGGAAGATCAGCTYGTAGGAGCCCAGTCTAACAGAGATKAAAGAGCCACTCCACAYCAGACATGAASTTAAGATTTYAGGTGTTTCARACTCCAAAACTTGCATGTTGGAAGATGTGACTTTWCAGTTCAACAGGCAAGTTGGACGCTCTAGGAAGAGCTGATTTTARTTCAACAAAGAAGCAGTAAAGAACTTACAAGTGTCTAGACTTKGGGCTAATGGCTTTGAATATGTAACTATCCATTTTCTAGAAATTGAACTAATAGRTGGACAAAACTGTTCTGCATTTTCTTCTTTGCATCCTATCTCCTCTCAACCAGTGTGCTRTGTGCTGGCAGATCACAGTATTCAGAGTAGTGTCCAAATGACAGCAGCCAAAGTGTGATGGGACCTTTTCTACAGTATTTAAACATTTTTTCTGTTTCCATTGATCAGTGCCTGTCATTTTAGCTGTGACTGTGCCTTTTGTGCTGTGCAAATCTGGCTGCACACAGGCTTTGAGAAGGGGAATACTCCAACCCTGGCAAGATGAGCAGTGGTGGGGAGTGCAGCAATGTAGGTGGTCTTTTGAATTAATCGTGRTGGGGTTTGAAATATTCATAAATTAATCTATGCCAGGTCAGGTCTGCAATACAGATGCTGTAGGATTTTTGCCAGATCCTTATGCAGAAGCAGTGGTTAGGAGATGGTTGGGAAGGTGAGACTGCTGCCTTTGAGAGGCAGTGGAGAAAGAACAGAGTCAGAATGGATGGAAACTCAGTTCAGAGCTGCGGCTGGGAATTGGTTGTGA